TGACATTGTTAGGCCTTTAAATGTTTGTCTTCCTTGGAGCTTTGTCCTAAGTCCTAAACCTGTATCTCTAGCCCACTCACTCACAGAGTTCCAGGTCTATAGAAATGGGACACCTACATGTGGATGTCCAACGAGTATTCAAAATTGAACATATCTTGTACCCACCTTTACCTGCAACTCTTCCTGGGTTACTTCCCTATCACAATAAATGATGCCATCATCTATTCAGTTGCCTAAGCCAGAATTCTGGATTTAACTTCCCACTCTCCCTTGCTTCAAATCAATACCCAAATCCAGTTGCGTGTACTGCTAAACCTCTGTGTATCAAGCCCCTCCTTCAGAAGGCTTTCAGTGATCATGACACTTTAAGGGCTTCTCACTGCCTTCAAAGTCACATTCAGCATGGTGATGTGCCACTGAGGATCAGAGAATTTCCCTTTGCCATGAGATTTTACAAAAAATCCTCCTCAGCCCTATGAGGCATGTGGTTTAGATCTCAACAGCACATAAGAAATCAATCAGTTGGCTCTTCAGAACCTTATATCATGGACAGCTTGTGTCTTATCCAGAATTGGGGAACTTTCACTACCCTGCATCCTACCCCTCTCTAACCCCACAGTTTCACATTTTCTCCATCTGTCACTTATTACACTATTCCTGGTGCCATTTTTTTTTAAAGATGGGAACGCAAATGATCATGTCCCAAGTAGAATTTAGTATAAGTTTACTATAGGAATTTGGGCATATCTATCTTACAGACAACCTAAAGCAGGAATTACTGCAGGAACCCATGAGACTCTGACATGAAGCTGGAGAGCAGCTGATAAGGCAACTTTTCTTTCATGCTGTTTCAGTGAGTCATTACTTCAATAATGATGTGTTAACAAACTACCCCAAGATTCAATGATTCAAAACAATAAGCATTTAGCTACTAATGACAGATCTGGAGGTTGCCTGCAACTCAGCTAGGTTACGCAACTCAGGCTGCAGATTTAAAAAAAAAAAAAAAAGTTTTTTGCAGGATGGGGTCTTTCTCTGTCACCTATCCGGAAGTGCAGTGACACAATTATAGCTGACTGCAGCCTTGAACTCCAGGGTTCAAGCAATCCTTCTGCCTCAGCTTCCCAAGTAGCTGGGACTGCAAGTGCAAGCTACCACACGCAGCCCAGGCTGCAGATTGGGTTTAGGTTTGCTCCATGTTTCTCATCCTCCATGTCAATGGCTACCCAGGGCATGTTCTTCTCATGGTAACTGACAGGAGCACAAGCAAACTGCTACAAGTACTCCGCTTACATCAGTACCATTAACATTCTATTGGCCAAAGCAAGTGACTTGGTCAAGCTCAAAGCCAACGAACAGGGAAGTACATTCCATCCACTGAGAAGCCATGGCAAGGGCACAGATACACAGAGGTGAAGAATCGAGAATAAGATCCAATCTGCTACAGGATGTATGGCCTCTATGCAGACCACCTTCTTCCTCTGTTCCTCTTACATATGACTCTGGAATGCCAGGCCCATTAGGGCAAGATTTTTGTCTGCTTTGTCCACTATATTTCTACTACACAGATTTTGTCTGTTTTGTTTACTGCTGTCTTCCTAGTGCTTAGAATACCTGGTACATAGTGGATGATAAATATGACTGACTGCCCCACCAAATAGTGCCCTCAGCCTTGTAAACTACCTGGTCTAGAGTCCAGTGTCCTTGAGCCAACCTGAGTTGCCCATTTGGGTTAGCTGTCACTCCCTTATTAAACCATATGCTGTAACCATGGGAAGAATGTGGGCAGTCCAGGGGCAATTCTGGAGAAAGGAGCATGGATAAGCAGAGTGCCCAGCTGTCTCTTCCACATGATGTACCAACACCTTCATGATCCAGTCCATGCCTCTCCATGGAAAGCAAGTACAGTATAGTGGCTAAAAGAATATTCATTAGGCTAGACAGGTCCAGATCCAAGCCCTGGGTCAGCTACTTACGACCTAATTAACTTTCAGCAAGTTATTTTACCACTCTGAATCTTCATTTCTCCATCTATTAAAACGGTGACAATTACCTTATGGGATTATTGCAAAATTAAATAATATACCTAAAGACCTTTATAGCGTCTGACACATAGTAAAACCCTCAATAAATAGTGACCATCTCTAACAGGAAATTAAGTCTGCTGTCTACCATACCCTTGTGTCCTTGGGTAAATTTTGCATCACACTCATTTTAATTTCAACTTTAGTTGACTGTGTTGGGTTGCACACTTAGCCCAAAGTAGCCAAACCACAGATGACCCACAACTGCTTAATATGAAAAGACTAGTAACTAGGCAAGAATTTCTTTCTCACAAATTTAAAGAAACGCCAAGAGAATAGTGATTAAGCTGGGAGAACACACCCCCAAAAAAGAGAGGCTGGTATGTTCTTGATGTCCACATACAAGCTGAAGTCCTAAGAAAGAAGAAACTGAAATAAGGAAGCCAGGTGAGACAGGGACTCAGACCCTGATGCCACCTCTTTTGGTACAGATCCTCTCCCCTCCAGCTCTGGTTTCAGTGTGGCATGGCCTTCTCCCACAATTGTGATCCTTGCCAGAGCCCTGAGGCATGAATTAGGATAAAATGAGAATACTCTGCTCCACAATGTTACTACATTATAGAATCTTGCAAATGTCCAGGGAAAACACAGTTGTTAAGAAAGGGCAATCACATGGGTACAATAATCATGGTAGAAGGAGCAACCTGATACTACAAAATCTTTGGCTGTGAAATGTGAACTCATGGAGGTTTTCTGGCTTTTATATTACAGATGTTCCCTGGGTTGTATAAAATTGAATTAAAGCAAATGTGACTTCATGGAAATTATCTAAGATACATTATAAAAGCTTAGCAATGTAAAAGATTTTGCATTCTACACAGAAATACAAAGCAGTCAGGTTGATGAACAAATATTATTAGAGGTAAGTGAAAGGCTAGCAGCATCCACCACAAGGTGCCCTCAGGCTTCCAGGCTCACCTTTTTTTTTTTGGTTGCTGACTGAGGTCTGGACTGCCCCACGAGACTCAACACTACATTGGCCCAGGCTCTTGTAGGTTTGACTAGTCCAATGACATAAAAGGAACAAGCATCTTTCATAGTCAAATTAAAGTTTAAATTGTGTATGATTTATTTGCTTTTATAAACCTATTACAGGAAGGCCAGGTGTGGTATCCTGCAATCCCAGCACTTCAGGAGGCTGAGACAGGATAATTGTTTGAGGCCAGAAATTCAAGACCAGTCTGGGAAACATAGTGAGAACCCATTTCTACAAAATAAATAAATAGGCCAGGTGCGGTGGCTCACACCTGTAATCCCTGGCCTTTTGGAGGCCAAGGCAGGAGGATCACCTGAGGTCGGGAGTTTGAGACCAGCCTGGCCAGCATGGTGAAACCCCGTCTCTGCTAAAAATACAAAAATTAGCCAGGTGTGGTGGTGTGCGCCTGCAACCCCAGCTACTCAGGAAGCTGAGACAGGAGAATCTCTTGAATCTGGGAGGCAGAGATTGCAGTGAGCCGAGATCACATCACAGGAATCCAGCCTGGGCAACAGAATCAGACTCTGTCTCAAAATAAAATAAAATAAAAATGAATAGATAAATGTTAGCTGGGCATGGTGGCATGCACCCAGTCCAAGCTATTTGGGAGGCTGAAGTGGAAGGATCACTTTAGCCCAGGAGTTTAAGGCTGCAGTAACCTATGAGTGTGCCACTCCATCTGGCCTGAACAACAGAGCAAGACCCTGACTCTAAACAAACAAACAAAACGGTATAATAGAACCCTGTGTAACTGTCACCCAGCTTCAGCAACTCCAACTGATGGCCAGTCTTGTTTCACCTACTCCATTAACCTACTTCTTTCCCTTTGCCCCAGACTATTTTGAAGCAAATCAAAGACATCATACTATTTTACTATAAATATATAACTTTTAATAATGGTTCTTAGATTGGATTCCAAACCAGCAACAAAAATATTCTACTCACAATGCTGAGGCAGGACTTCTTGGGCACAGGGGTTTGAAACCAGTCTTAGCAGCAATATAGTGAGACCCGTATGTCAAAAAGGAAAGAAAAATATGGTAAAACATGGTATGGTTAAGAGGGGCATTTACCTATTTCCCCTTTCTTAAAACTTCTGACAGGAGCATGGAGGAAATTAAAGTTGCAAAGTGGTAAAAGAACACATGCTCAAGTAGAATAAATAATCCAGTCCTAAGTTAATATGAACCTATTTTTTTTTTAAAAAAAGGCTATTGATTAGGTTGTAAAGAATATTAGTTAAACAAGAATATTAGTTGAAGAAATAGAATACTGGAGTCATAGATTATCAGCTTCAAAGCTAGCTCAGACGCAGCATCACTATTGCCCAGTCTCAAGAACAGATGATGGTGTTCAGTATTTCATGTACTTAAGATTTTCTGAACCCCTAACAGGTTTTTTTAATGCTTATAGTCAGTTTCTACATGTGTTCCACCAAAAAAAAAACAGTACATCAGGCTCAGAGGTGGCTCTTAAACTTTCTCCCACTTACATACCAAAATTATTTAGTAACTAATTCAAGAAAGGCAATAGGAAATGTTAAAGATAGAGTGGGAAAAGTCTTTTGATCTAGAAAGATGAACCTACCAAGAAAACAACAGTTTAGCTATATCCTATTTTCTGTAGGGGATAAAATATCTTTAAAAAAAAAAAAAAAAGTGGAAAGAGACCATGTCTTCTTTCTTAGTGGTTTAGGTCTTGAATTATCAAACTCAATAACAAATGCTAACTCAAGATCATTTTGCATTTTTCCTCTCCCCTGCAAAAAAGTATAGGGAAAAAAATAAGTGTCCATTTGTGTGTATAATTTCAATTGTGTATGAAATTTCATATTTATGGTCCTGGAGGAAGCACCATTTCAAAATATCACTGCAACTGATTCAAGAACTTAATTTTGTGAGTGAATTCTTCAGATCATGTAGCATTAAAAATGATTTAATACTGGTCCCTTAAAAAAAGTATCATAATTTATAGATATGGGATGTTTTCAAACATACCAAAATATTATGAAAATATGTACCAAAACTCATGTTAATAATAAAGAAGTAACAAAGTAAACACTACGGGTCCAAGGCAGAAATGTGAGCGGAAAATAAATTGGACACTCCCAGCCTTCCCACTACTATCCTCTTTCTCTTTCTCCCTCTGTAACTTACCATTTGGTGCAATACTCCTTCAGGTACATAAGGTCCTTGTGCTTCCCCTTTTAAAACATGCTCTCAGAAAAAAAAAAAATATGAAGTTCATGTGCACTGAGGTAAACACAACTAATAACCTCGAGTATTCTTACTCAGTATTTGCATCTTAAACTTAAAAAAAAAGAGTGGAATTTTCGTATCAGCTAGCACATAGGAGTGATTTCATCAGTGTTTTTGAAATCTCAGGTTGAATACAGTCAATTCAGCCTACCAATAAGGTCAGCACTGAGGACATGCAAATATACATACAGTATAATATATATAAAACTACCAGTGAGATTTCACCGGTAAGATTTTACTTTTATGTTCCAATTCTTTTCAGCAGTGACATTTCGAACAATAAAACTACCTCCCAACTGGAAATCATATTATCTCTTACCAATAAGATTATTCTATGTTTTATGAGCAAAAATCTCTCAAGGAAAGAAAATAAAGTATGAGGCAAGACAAACACTTTAAAGCCAAAAAACTCTGATATAAATTGGGAAGGGGCTGTACCAAAATTGAGGTTTAGAAAGCTGGCTTTGTTAAAACACACATAAAGACTTGGTAGGAAAAAGCCGCTTCTTTCTCCCTTTTCCTTCCTGAATGTGGATAAAGGCCCAGCCCCCTTAATCACAAGACAATAAGCATGAACACAAAGGTCTACATGGCAGACTGCATGAAGGGTGAAAGGAGTCACCTTATTTCATGTGGACTTTTTGCATAAGGTTCCTGAAAGACGTCAGATTCAGCTGCTACTGGGGGGGGGTTTCTGTTACTGCGGCTGAATATCCTTATAGTGGATACAAAGACATAATTCTCACTTAAAAAATTAACAGCCATGAAGAAAATCCTCAAATCTCTCATATATCCTAAAACGAACCTCAACGATAAGCTTAACATTTTTCCTTTCCTCAACTGAGGAAGATAAATATTACATAATATAAAAATAGGGGTGACAGTGGTGAAACTCCAGATTCCAAAGTTAAAAAAAGTGAGACAAGATTAGGAGAGAAGAAGGGCACAAATGTAATACCAGACAATTATGGTCTAATAGGGGCTTTGACTAATATTCCCAATAAGTCAATTTCAACTCTCAGTGAGAAAAATAAAGTTTATTTCTTGTACAGAAATAACTCCAATTCAGTTTTTAAGTCTGAACCTTCAAACCTGGGAAGCTTTTTTCCAAGTCATCAGCAAGGGCCTTATCAACTTCATGTAGGATTTTAATAAAATCTTCCACCTGTGAATCAAACAAAAAAAAATCAAACACAACAGAGAAAAACGTGGTTTAAAGTACTGATTACTCTACCTGTGGTTTCTAAATGGTCCAATGGAAAAGAAATGCTGGCAGATCTTCAGATGACAGTAAAAGTACTTCCTAAGCAGTCTTCTAAAATGTTCTCCAGGAAATGACTATGCTTCCATTCTGTTTTACTTTTGACCTAGTACTTCTCCCCCTGCCTATTCTTTACGGTCTGTTCCCACATTCTGTCCTTTGTTTTCCTAGAAAATTTCCTATTTTGAAATCTGCTTCTAATGGTAGGAAATGTGATATAATTTGAAGAACCATATAAACCTACTGACTATTCCTAAGAATCTCACTTTGGCTTAATATATATGCTATCTATATCCTTTCATAACAGAAAGGAGTATTATAAATTTAGAGCTGATTTTTTCCTCTTAAAATTGTTACTCTCAATAGTATTATGAATTTTCCAGTAGTCATCTTTTTAACTTTTATTTTAGGCTCAGAAGAGTCTAAATGTCTAAATTGTGCATTTGTTACAAAGGTTTTGTTACAAAGGTATATTACATGATGCTGAGGTTTGAGGCACAGATGAACCTGTCACCCAGGCAGTAAGCTTAATACCCAATAGGTAGTTTTTCAGCCCTTGCCCACCCTGCCTCCCTCCCTCCCCTCCTCCTGCAGTCCCTAGTGCCTTCTGTTTCCATTTTTATGCCCATGGTATCCAATGGTTTAGCTCTGTTTTTGGTTTTCTGTTTCTACCAGTCATCTATCTGACAAAGGCATTAAGTCATATAAATTGTATATACTATTTTGTTTTGACAATGACCTTGAAATCAAGTGCTTACTTGAAAACATTTAATAATACTATGAAACTTAGCCACCTATACATGTACCCATACTTACCACAGGGCTATAGAAAGGAAGAAGGTTTTGAAATGCAGAGGAACACTTCTGTTTGCTCAGCTGGCCCTCCTTTACTCCCTGAGCCACAGTCTCCTAAAACAGCACAAGATTCAATGTCAAAAAACGACAATTTCTCAAGCTTTAGTGAATAAAAACAAATCAGTATATACAATTCCCTACTGACCCCATAGGCATTTCAAATGTCCCAACTGAACCCACTGACATCAAGGAGACTTATGCAACCCAAACATCTTCTCCAATGTAGTCTTTACTCTAGTGAAGGGCACCACTACCCACCCTGCTACACAGACCAAAAACCTGGAACATAGTCAAGACTTTTCCTTCTCCCCTGCTGCTGACCCCTCCCCGCGAGTGTTCAACTCTGTTCTACCAGATCCCTCTTACTGCATCCCTCCTCTCCGTTCAAACTTCAGTCGGTTAGGCTGTCATCATTTTTCAGATTATTCTTGAAGATTATCAACCACGCGAGCCTGTTGGTTGGTCTCCTGCTCTCCAGCCTCAACTCTCTCTACTCCTTCCTCACTATTGCTTTTGGAGTAATCTTTCTAAACTGCTCACATCACTTGGTGCTTAAAAGAAAAAAATCTTTAGTACCTCCTCTGTTTCTTCAAGATTAAATCCAAATCCCCTAAATATGGCATATAAGAATTTGCATAACATAGCCCTAGTGTATTCTTAGTCCACCTTCCTTTGATGTTGCTACCACTTAAAAGTTAAGAAATATCAATGTCCCTTGCTCCAAAAAACAAAAGCAACAGCAAAAAAATAGAAAAAAAAATACAAGCAATGAATATGGAAAAGATGCATTTTTACCCAATACATTTATACAAATAATCAAACTGGATAAATTATAAAAAAGTAGGAAACACAATCAATATATGACATCCAAATATTTCAATCTCATTAATTTAAAATGCAAATCAAAATAAGCCACAATTTATCACCTGTTGAACTTCACTTGACATAAAAATTATAATACCCAATAATAAGGGTCAAATAAAAGCAACATTTTCACATGTAAATAGCATTTTGACAAAATATGGGCATTATGCCCTAGCCATCTTCACATCTGTAATGTTGAATCCAGTATTCTGTAAAACCTGCTAAGGTAACAACTCCAAATCTGGAAAATACAAATATGGAAAAGAGAAGCAAGACAACTAATAATAATAATTTTTAAAAAAAATTGGGCCAGGGAAGGTGGCTCACGCCAGTAATCCCAGCACTCTGCGAGGCTGAAGCAGGTGGATCACGAGGTCAAGAAATACAGACCATCCTGGCCAACATGGTGAAACCCCCATCTCTACTAAAAATACAAAATTTAGCTGCGTGTGGTGGCACACACCTGTAGTCCCAGATACTCAGGAGGCTGAGGCAGGAGAATCATTTGAACCCAGGAGGCGGAGGTGGCTGTGAGCCGAGATCACGCCATTGTGCTCTAGTCTAGTGAGAGTTAGACTCCGCCTCAAAAAAAAAAAATCACGAGATTAAGAGAAACTTTTTGTTTTGTTTTGTTTTTTGAGACAGAGTCTCACTCTGTCACTCAGGTTGGAGTGTAATGGCACAATCTTGGCTCACTGCAGCCTTGATCTCCTGGGCTCAAGCAATCTTTCCATCTCTGCCTCCCAAGTAGCTGGGATTGTAGGCATGTGCCACCATGCCTGGCTAATTTTTGTATTTTTTGTAGAGATGAGGTTTTGCTCTGTTGCCCAAACTGGTCTCAAACTCCTGGGCTCAAGTGATCCGCCTGTCTCAGCCACCCAAGAACTGCGATTATGGGCACCGGGCCAAGAGAAAGTTCTTGTTAAGGAATACTCTTTTAAAAATTCGGTGGGTATGAGTAAATATATTCTTCATAGTTATATTTATAACATTTTATATTCATAATACATAATACAATATATTCATAACATATTCATAATCTATTTCTTTCCAAATATATGGATAGAAAGAATATGGTCAAAGGAAGAATGTTAATCACTGAACATATTCAGGGAGAATATTCCTTAGGAGAAGTTTGCAGTAAATTTTGAAAACTGATTATTTGGTAAATTAGGTTTAAATTGGCTCTCAGTAAAAAGTCTTTCAACTAGAATCAAGAAAAATACTTATAATACAGTGTTAGGGAAATGAGCAGTCTGCATATGCTGGGTCAAAGTATATGAAAATGCATTTATAAATATATATGCATGTAAACATATGTTTGTCATACATAAATATACCAAACTACATCAACTAGTGGTTTTTAAGATTATAAACTCATGGTGATATTAAGATTTTACTTTCTTTATCTTCCCAAATTCGATATTACTTTTATATTAACAAAATAATAGCAGTAATAATAAAGTTTGGAGCATTAAGTTGTACACATGACATCATCATCAGTACTTATGACATCATCATAGTACTTCTTTCCTACCTTTGTTAATGCCTGAAAAATATTAGAAAGAAATTCACATAAAATATCCTTTAAGATTTTCAAGTGGAAATCATCTTGGGTTAAATCAGTCTTTTTAGTTTCGTCTGTGTTAGACTCTGCCAATTTCTCTGGTTTCTTCTGACACTGTTCCACATTTTGTAAGACCCGAATGAGGCTGTCAATTAGAGGAAGATCTACTGTATAAACAAATCAAGAAGCATTGAATTGGCCAGTAAGTTTGGTTTTTCATTCATATGTATTGAATTAGTGCTAGACATCATTATTTTAGGTATTATAGATACAGTGGTAATATGACCAAGATGTCAGCCTATAAGTGGCTTATATTTTTATACTTTCAAATAAGTAAATAAAATAGACCATTTCAGATTTTGGTAAGTTCTATGAAAGAAATAAAAGAGGAATACAATATAATGGCCTAGCAGAGAAAGCTCTCTGAAAAGGTGACACTGAGTTGAAAACTAAAGCAATGAAACATCAGCAATTAAAAGAGCCCCGGAAGTCAGGCCTGGTAGCTCATGACAGTAATCCCAGCACTTTGGGAGGCCAAAATGGGCAGGTAGCTTGAGCCCAAGAGTTTGAGATCAGCCTGAGCAATTTGGAGAAACCCTATTTTACCAAATACAAAAAATTAGCTCACAAGACTTTTCTACCACCTCCACTGTTCCATCTTAGTCCAAGTTATAACATTTCTTGCTATGAGTCAATTATCCAAACTCTAAAAGCCTCCTAACTCGTCTCCCTTTTGTATCCATGACCCCCTACATCTCTCATCAAAACAGCAGCCTATTAAAGTCAGCTCATGTGTAAGCAACATCTGCTTAAAACCCACCATGGTTCCCTACCTCATTCAGAGGAAAAGGCAAAATCGGAACCTCCATACTCTACCTCTCTAGCGCCATGTGCTACTTTGCTAAATCCACCTCAGCTATATGGGATCTCACTATTCCTCCTCAAAGACACCAGGCATACTTCTGGTTTAGGGCTTTTATACCTTCTATTCCGTCTGTCTGGAAAGTTCTTCTCCCCAAGTATGCATATGACTCCCTCCATTCTCTCCCTAAGATCTGTACTCAATGCCACCTTCTCAATGATGTCACATATCAATAAATGAAGATCTTAAAAATACTCAACATTTTTTAAATTAAAAACTCAATAAAATAGAAACAGATTAATACTTCCTTAAATGGTAAGACATATATCTTTTTGTTGAGGGGACGAAGTCTTGCTCTGTTGCCCAGGCTGGAGTACAGTGGTGAGATCTTGGCTCACTGCAGCCTCTGCCTCCCAGATTCAAGTGATTCTCCTGCCTCAGCCTCCCGAATAGCTAAGGTTACAGGCGTGTGCCACCACGCCTGGCTGATTTTTGTATTTTTGAGCAGAGACAGGGTTTCACTACATTGGCCAGGCTGATCTTGAACTCCTCACCTCAGGTAATTTACCCACCTCGGCCTCCCAAAGTACTGGGATTATAGGTGTGAGCCACTGCATCTGGCTGTAAAACATTTATCTTATACCCAATAATGCTTAACAGTAGAACTCTAGGATTATTCCTAATAAAATCAGGAACAAGGGAAGGATGTTTTCCATCATCACTATTATTTAACACCAGAGATACTAGGCAACCCAGAAAGAAAAAGAAACCACAGTTAAAGAATTGATAAGATATATCTAATTTAAGCCAAAGCACTATCAGATAAAGCCCAAAGATTATTATTGGAATGACTATTAAAAATAGTGAGAATTTGGTAAGGTTACAGGAGGCAAAGTTAATATACAGAAATCAATAGCCTTCATATATTCCAACAATAATCAGTGGAAGAAAACATGTCATAGACAATAGTAAACCCAAAGGATAAAATATCTAGGAAAGAAATTAATAAGAAATATACAAGATCTATATGAAGAAACCATTACTGAGGGACAAAATAAGACCTGAACAAATGAAAAGACATAACATATTCTTATAAAATTAACACAATATCAACAAAAATATCAGTTTTTGTTTTTGGAACTTAAAGTTAGTGGTAAGAATAGTTAAAAACATTCTGAAAACTTAGAATGAAGAGGGATTCACTCTATTAGGTATTAAAACATAAAACCTTAATATTTAAAAACAGTAAGGCTACTACTATGTAAATAGAGCAATGGAAATAAATAGAATATATAGGGGAATTTAAAAAATAATTATGATGAAATTTCAAATCAGTGTAGGTAAGCTGTATTATTCACTAAATGATGGTGAGATAATGGGGTAGACCTCTGGAAAAAAAACGGATACCACTAGTACCAAAGTTATTGAAGGGGGGAAAAAATTAAAGCCACACTTCACATGTGACACCAGAATAAATTCTAAACGAATCATGAATTTAATTGTAGTCCTAAAAATCACTCTGTGAAAGAATATGTATTTACATAGGAAAATATTCATTTTTATTTTCTAAATGAAATGTTGGCTAAAAAGCAGAATTTAAAAAATACATAGGCATGCATTGGATGGTAGATTTACAAGCATCATGTTTCCTTGATGTTTTTTATAAACTGTATACATTTTTAGGCAGGGTGCAGTGGCTCATGCCTATAATACCAGCACTTTGGAAGGCAAAGCAGGAGGATCATTTGAGCCCAGGAGTTTAGAGCGAGCCTGGGCAAGATGGCAAGACCCCGTCTCTATAAAAGAATTTTAAAATTAGCCAGGTGAAGTGTCATGTGCCTTTAGTTCCAGCTACTCAAGAGGCTGAGGTAAGGGAATTGCCTTAGCCCAGGAATTCAAGCTTGCAGTGAGCTATGATCCTGCCACTGCACTACAGTGTCGGCAACAAAGTAAGACTCTGTTTTAAAAATAAGTAAATAGCCAGGCGAGGTGGCTCATGCCTGTAATCCCAGCACTTTGGAAGGCCGAGGTGGGTGGATCACTTGAGGTCAGGAGTTAGAGCCCAGCCTGGCCAACATGGTGAAACCTGACTCTACTGAAAACATACAAAAATTAGCCAGGCATGATGGTGTGTGCACCTGTAATCCCAACTACTCAGGAGGCTGAAGCACGAGAATCACTTGAACCCAGGAAGCAGAGGTTACAGTGAGCCGAGATCACATCACTGCACCCCAGCCTAGGCAACAGAGCAAGACCTATCTCCAAAAAATAAAAATAAATAAATAATAAAATAAGTAAATAAATATAATAAAATAAATTTTTTAAGTTTAGCATGTAACATTTCTATAATTAGGGGAATGAAAGGATTTTTAAAAGGGAGAAACAAAAAGAAAAAAAGGGAGAAATAAATGAAATGAAAAACAAAATGAGCCTAAAAAATTGTACTTGCCTTTTTCTATCTTTAGATATTCTTGCTCAGTCTGTGAGGCATAGATGGCAGACAACACTGAAAAAACAGAGGCTAGCACTGTTTTCTGTTCTTGAAGAATGATGGGTGGATCATCAGACTGGCAGAACTCATGGCAGACCAGGTCGAAAAGTAAATTCCAAATATCTTTTCCAGTATCAGGACAATGTACTTAATAAAGATAATAAAGAAAGTAGTAATTTAAAATCAGCAAAGAATTAAATGAGTAACTGTAGCGCATCCGGATAAACCGTCTTACCAATTGCTTGAATTCCATCATCCACTGTAGTAAGCAATTGTAAAATATGCATGTAAACATCAAGCCATTCTGGATTTTCAGAACTAAAAAGAAAAGTAAAAGCCACAACTTTACTGTCCAGGGGATTCCAATCATTCATCCATTCAATGAATACTTATTACTCTGTGCCAGCCACTGCTGTAAGTGCTGAGGATAAAACAAGGAAAGGAATGAAGTCTCTATGCTCATTAGAGCTTTTATATTCTAATAGAGGAAACAGCAAAAAAAAAAAAAAATCACAAATATTATATAATATAATCAACACACACAGGCAAGAAGTAAAAAAATCATTTGCCTCTATCTCATAAAAGTAACAATGCAGAAACCTGCTAGTTGATACTTTATCATTTTGGTTTGCTTGAATATCAGAACGAAAATGACTGAGATTTTTAGAGTGTGAGAGTAAGGTCCACTGCACCATGCATCAACAATGATGTTCTGAAAACATCTCAGGATTATCCTAGCTCTCTAGCTGAGAACACTAAAACCACATAAGTCTAATTCTTATGATCAACAGTTTGCATTCTTAAAAATCTAAACAGTTTAGAAACTCAAAATTGTAGTTCTTCAACCAAACAAGTGAAAAGACAGTCAACAATTAAAACAATGGTTTGGCAAATGTTTATTTAAGTACTTACTACTTTCAGCGACTATGTTAGGAACTAAGAAAACAGATGTATAAGATGTTATCCCTATCTTCATAAAGTTTATACTCAAAAGGAAAGAAGATTCCTAGTGGGGTAATTATAATAAAGTGGTATGCATGCAGCACTATAGGACTAGGAACTTCGCAGAGCAAGGAGACTTCGTTTGCAAGGTCAGGGAAGGTATCTTATGAAAAATGATGTTTACACAGAAACATAAAGGCACAAAGAAGTGTTTGAGGTGGAGGAAACATACTGTGCCAGGGTCTGGCGACAAGAGAGCCTGGTTCAACTGAAGAAGTAAAGCAAGCTTCACGTGACTGAAATGCAGAGTACAAGGAATAAGGATAGAGAGGCATTCTACTGGGCCTATAAGCTGTACTTTATTATTTTGAGAATTTTTCATTTATTTCATTCTTTTTTCGCCTATTTATTTAAACTTTGGATTCAGAAGATACACGTTGGGGGTTGTTACATGCATAATGCCGAGGTTTGGGAATACAAATGGTCCCCTTCACCCAGGTGATGTACATAGTATTCCTGCTGTGCTTTTTTGGTTTTTTCTGGACCTTATCCTAAGGAAGGCAACTGAAAAGACTGAAGCATGAGAGTGAGATGAGTGTGTACTTTACACAAACAGCTTTTAAGTCTAGGCTTGGGAAGAAGCAAGCATAGAGGCAGGGAATTCAAGTAAAAAAATGTGGCAGTTCTCCAGGTGAGAGACAATAATGGCTTGATTGGCATGGATGGAATCCCAGGAAAAATCAGGAATAAGGGTTGGAAGCTGACTACAATGGGAAAATACTGGGGCATTCAGTAATGGCTTCTCCATTTCTTCTATGTTATCCAAATAGGATAACGATTGCACCATTTACTGATACTGAGGATACTGATGAAGCAGATTTAGGGAAAGATGATGAATTTAATCCTCACTTGGATAAAGGACACAAAATTAATAGGTTTTGATGTGGCTTACTCAGCACTAATAATGCACTAAGCAAATCACTAAGCAGATCAATTTCAAAATTAATTTTCTAGTGATTAGCAATAGTTTTAATGACCTGTAAGACCTAGTAATCACTCTTGGCAAGACATTAGAGTCCCAAATTCACTTATTGAAGACTGGCATATAAACACAAGAAGAAAAATAAATAAATAAATGACGTGCAACGTTAGAAGCTGTTAAATGTTCAATGTAAAATAACCACACGAAAATGTTTTCTCTTTGATTTAAATTACATAAAATTTCTGATGATGTTAAGACAGAAACCACATTTAATGTTGAATAACAGCCTATAGCTAAATGATAATATAACAGGAACTTTGTAACCATACCATTCTTGCAAAAAGCAAACATGCTGCATTACAAATATTAGTAGTGAATCAATGTAACAAAGAGTGACTGTATACTTCCTTCTGCTGCAAGGAATCTAACAAGACTTATATCTGAGAATACTTCTAGCAATTGCATTTTCCCAGAACACTTGCACGAAAGAGCTCACCTACCGTACTTGTTTGGCAGCCTCAAGTATACAGGGCACAAGCCTAAAAACTGGCTGCTCTTCAGACTCTTCCTGGGGTTGGTCTAGAGGCTGAGAAGCCCCATTTCTGACCCATTCCAACATCAGTTTCTCATCCAAATCAAAGAGCTTGTCCACAACCTCCCCCACCTTCACCAGCAAGTCAACTGCAGAGAATAAAACAGATATTGAAATGAGAAACAAACTGTTAAAAGCAATAGGGTTAAGCAAAATTCTAAAGCTATTCTAAGAAAGCCAAATCTAGCTCAAACAGTACCTATTCCAAGGGTGATTTACTTATCTCCTATATTTAAATTTGCTTATATTTCCTTATTTTTAAATGAGGAATTTATCAGTGTCCCAGGAGTTTAAGAAATTTTATATCTTCTTCAATCAAAAAACTGTCTCCAAAAAACAAACACACAAAAAGCTGGGCATGGTGGCTTACACCTATAATCCTAACACTTTGGGAGGCTGAGGCTGGGTAACTGCTTGAACCCATGAGTTCGAGACTAGCCTGGGCAACAAAGCAATACCCTGTCTCTACACAAAATTCTAAAATGAACTAAGTGTGGTGGTGCATGACTATAGCCCCAGCTACTGAGGAGGCTGACAGAAAGATACCTTGAGCTCAGGAGTTAGAGGCTGCAGTGGGCTATGATCACACTACTGCACTCCAACTTGGGTGACAGGGCAAGATTCTGTTTCAAACAAACAAACAACTTTATTACCTTGCACTCGAGCCTTTTTTTAAAAAAAAAAAAAAAAGTGCAAGGTAAGTGACTTCTAGAAATAGTTACACGGTTTCCTAAAAATTAAGTAAAATTTAAAACAATTTTTTTTCTAGAGTACATGATGACTCACCATTTGTTGAACTTGACATAATGAAGCAAATGCTATCATAAATAGCTGGATGTTCCCGGATCCTTTCAACCCAGACACTGGCCACTTCTGCCTGGGAAAGGCAAGTAAGCAACAACCTATATGGTAAACGTGGGTTGAATTTCTACTTTTCAAAAACAGTAAAGGAAATTAGAAAATAAAAAATTAACTTTCTTAGCTACTCTTATGAGTAACATTATAGAATTCATAAAAGGAAAAGCATACCTGCTTGTTTCCAGAAGAGTAGGTGGGTCTGAATCATACAAACAGTGCAACAACACCTGCCTACAAAAACACAGAAGTTAACTGATATGCCTCACTTCTCGTATTTAGAGTATCAGAGTTTTCATTTCATTTTTTGAACATCTTTATTGTGAAATACAGCATGTATACTGAAAAGCCCAAAATATACAAATCTATAGTTAAAGAATAATTCTAAAGCAAACACTCCTGTTTCCAAGAAACAGAACAGAGCTGCATCTCTGTAGTCACCATGTGTCCATTCCAAATCACAATTCTCTTTCCCAGCTAGAAATGATGACCATGGCCGGGCACGGTGGCTCAAGCCTGTAATCCCAGCACTGTGGGAGGCCGAGGCGGGTGGATCACGAGGTCAAGAGATCGAGACCATCCTGGTCAACATGGTGAAACCCCGTCTCTACTAAAACTACAAAAAATTAGCTGGGCATGGTGGCGCGTGCCTGTAATCCCAGCGACTCAGGAGGCTGGGGCAGGAGAATTGCCTGAACCCAGGAGGCGGAGGTTGCGGTGAGCCGAGATCGCGCCATTGCACTCCAGCCTGGGTAACAAGAGCGAAACTCCGTCTCAAAAAGAAAAAAAAAAGAAATGATGACCATTCTGACTTTTCCAGCAATCATTTCCTTACTTTGCTCTATAGTTTTATTATTTTATATATTTTGGTGTTGCTTTATACCACAGGTAAAAGGATTAAGATGCCATGCTGAATAGACATAATCTGGGAGGTTATTTGGATTCATGAAGATGCTCAAGGAAGGGAGACAGCATATTAAAGAAATATTATACTTATTCTTTTGAGTCTTCATTTATTTGCTGAAAACTATGTATGTAAGATCCACCCATGTTGTTCCTGTAGCTGTTGTTCTTTGATACACTGCTGCAGAGCATTCCATTGTGTGAAGATAACACAGTTTATTTTTCCAGGCTATTGTTGATGGACATTTGTGTTGATTCCAATTTTGGGCTATTTCAAGCAATTCTCTATAATATTTGTATGAGTTATTCTGATGCACACGTGCACAGTTTCTCTTACCATATATGCCCACTATGAGCTGGTCACAGCACATGCATATGTTCCAGTGTGACCAGATAATGCCCAACTATTCTAAAGTGGTTCAACAAATTTATATCCCATCAGCATTTAATTGAATTTATAACATTTGTTAACATTTCTCACTTGCAGATTTTAATAGAGAACACTAGAGACTGAACATAATCCTAAGTCATTTGTTCCATGAATGACTGTAAATTACTGAGGAATAAATACCCCGAACTAGGATCTTAAAGTGCCTCCACAACTAGGAGTTATCTCTTTTTGAGAAACCCAGGTAGTTGAATCCTGTAATAAAACCCTTATGGCGCCAGCTCTGACAAAAACTGCCTAGAACAGTTTTCTTAACCTATTTTGGGCACAAATTTCTTTGAGATTTTGATTAATAGCCATGAACCCTTTGCCTAGAAAACTAATGTACCCACAAAATTTAGCACATTATTTCAGGGTATTCCCAGAACACAGTAACCACTTGGGTTTCCTCCATTAAAAAACCTTCTGCTCAGGACTTTACACATGAAGAAGAGAACTAGCCTCAAAGCAGAAATATGACTCTTTTAATCACAGGAGCACCCCTTTATCTTCTAGTTTGTTGGCAAGTCTTACCCTCTAAGTCAGAGTTCTCAGGATGACATTATTCAACAAATCTAGTTTCTGTAGACTCCAGCTGAGTCATTGGGTTCCTTGCACCTAAACTGTTTTAGATTCCAGTTGGCTGCCCCATCTCCAAGTTTTGTCCCACTGGTTCTTCCCCTATCTGGCTTACTGGCAACAGCTGACAATTCAGGTTCCCTTGCTACTGAAGAAAACAGGCTTAAATCCTGAATCATTTCAGTACCTCCTGAAGAAGCCCCTAGCTATCATCAACACACAAGAAGTTCCTAGAGAGTGTGCATCAGGACAGAGGAAGGACTGTTTTCGGATTTGCTGCTTTTCCTATGTATAGAATTTCCTTAAGGATATAAATGAATATATTAAAAATGTCATTATATAGTAAGACTTACCCAAGATTTTCATCACTGCTGATGGACACGCATATCTCTTGGAAACAGGCCATATTACCTAAAATTCCCACACAGATTTCCTGCCAAATCAAATTTTACAAGTCACAATGGCTCTGAGGTGAAAGACACATAAACAGAATTATCAACCTGAAAAAAAAAAAAAACTTTCACTGAGCCAAGTTTTGGGGCAAGGTGGAGGGGAAGCAGGATAAAGAAATACATATACTACCTATACCCTAATCTGGACAAACTTACCGTATCTAAGAAGGGATGAAAGACATAGAAAAAGAAAGGGCAAAGGCAGGAGCTATGGAAGAAGAATTCTTAACAATAAAATGAGTTTAAAATGATTGATAGGATTGAGATATGCAAACAAAAAGATGTTCAAATAAGGGGAAAGTATCAACAAAGGCAGGAAGGGAATCATGTACATGGCTAATACAGTAGACAATAAAGAAAGTACTCTGGTTGTGGCACGAAGTGGGTGAACAGCATGAGGTAAATACTGCAGGTATAAAGGACTGAGATTAAGGGCTGGGAATGCCATGCTGAAGAGCTAGACTTATTCTGGGAAGTTATTTGGAATCATGAAGATGTTCAAGGAGAAGAGATAACATACTGAAACAGTATCTTAGATTATTCTGGCAGCAAAATGCATAATATATTAATATAGTCCCTCTTTAGCCACGGTTTCAGTTACCCATGGTCAACCTTGGTACAAAAGTACTAAATGGAAAATTCCAGAAACACATAATTTATATGTTTTAAATTGCATGCCTTTTCTGAGTAGCAGGAAGAAATCTTGCACCGTCTCACCCGGAATGTAAATCATTCCTTTGTTCAACATATCCACACTGTATATGCTGCCTGTCCGTTAGTTACTTAGTAGCCATCCTGGCTATCAGACCAACTGTCATGGGATCACAGGGCTTGTGTTCAAGTCACCCTTATATTACTTAATAATGCACAAGAGTAGTGATGTTGGCAATTTGGATACGCCAAGGAGCAGTCGTTAAGTGCTTTCTTTACATGAAAAGGTAAAAGTTCTTGACTTCATAAGAAAACAAAACAAAAAAATATATGCTGAGGTTGCTTAGGATCTATAGTAAGAACAAATCTATCCATGAAATTGTAAAGAAGGAAAAAGAAATGTGTGCATATTCTAAATAGGGTTTAATACTATCCCTGGTTTTAGGCACTGGGGGTCTTGGAATGTATCCCCCAAGGATAAGGGGAGACTAGTGCCTAGGGAAAAGAAGTTTAAAAGAACTTAAGAATCTATCTCAGTAACAGTTAATTAATAAGTAATAACAGTTTATTACCACTCATTATGGCCAGGTACTACTCTAGGCATTTTCCGTGTATCATTTCGTATAATAATTTAGGAGATACGTACTAATAGTGTCCCCATTTTTTTTCAGATGAAGAAACTAAGGCACAGAGAAGTTAAGCAACTTGCCTAAGATCTTAAGATCTCCAACTAGAACATGGCAGAGCTCCAGGGCTTGAGCATTTAACACTATTCCTAACTGAACCTCAGTAATCAAGATGCAAGAGGAGGAGGGCTCTCAGGCATGGAAAAGAATGAAGCTGACGAAGACTCTCAAGGTGAAAGCAAAATAATCCAATGTGACGATAAGGAAGAAAGCAGTTGAACTTGACTCCTAGGTTTCAAGTTGCCTCATTTCCCCAGTCAGTGATATTGGTCCCACTGACAGGAAAATTGAAAAAGAAAGTGCATGAAAAGCTATAATGAGTTCAGATAGTACAGTGTTTCCAAGCTTGCTGAAACCTAAGAATCACTCAGGGAGCTCATTAAAAATACAGATTTCCAAGTCTCATCTCAGATCTACTGAATCATAATTTCTAGGGTAGAGCCTGGAAAACTATTGTTCACCTGGCATATACCAGGTGATTTTTATGATCAGTTAAGTGTGATCATAAATCACTGAGAACATATAGAATCCGGGGTTTGAGAGTAGAGCTGACCCTTGAACAACACAGGTTTGAATGTGTGGGTCCACTTATAGGTGGATTTTTTCCAACCAAACTTGGATTGAAAATACAGCGTCCTCAAGATGCAAAACCTGCATAATAATGCAGAGCTGGCTTTTCATACACACAAGTTCCACAGAGCTGGCTGCAGAATTATGTGTGGATTTTAGTATGGGGGAATGTCTTACAACCATCCCGCATATTTACCAAGGGACAACTGTACAGCATGCAAGCAAAGAATGCCTGAAGGAAGTTGGAGATGTGACATCAGTTACCAGAAGGGAAGTCAAGGTTTTGCTCCCACAGGCAGAGTTGCAACTTAAAGGTGTAAAGAACACATAAGTTCACTAGGAAAATGAATATAATGGGAACAAAGAATCAGGTTCTACACCTTAGAAAGCGTCCATATTCAGGACAGGATAATAAAGGAAAAAAGAAAAAAAGCCAATGAAAGGTGAGAGACAAGAGACTGAAGAGGTCAGAGACCAGACAGTGAGGTGGCACAGGAGCTACAGAAATGGAGTTTCAATATAATGTGAGTGGTCAAATGTTGGGAAATGATTAAGAGTGAGTAGGGGCAGAAAAAAAAACACATACATTTCCCTTATAAACTAAAGAGGGACTAACTGAACTTCCAATCAAAGATAAAGTTTTTCAGTCTTGGCTGTTCACTGCAATCACCTTGAGAACTTTAAAAGCTGCCTGGAGTCTCACACTTGGAGATTCTGCTTTAATTCATCTGGGGTACGGCCTGACTCAAGATTTTTAAAAGTTCCCTAGGGCAAAGCTTCTCAGAGTGTGGCAATGCTCCAGAGCACCAGCATCACCAGGGAACATATTAGGAATCCTGGACCTACTGGACTAGAAACTCTGGAGGTGGAATTGACAATTAGCGATGAGGGGACATAATGAAGTTTGATAGCCCACGTGCCAGGTGATTCTAACATGCAGCCAAGGCTGAGAATCACTGCGGCAGCAGACTATGGTCAACAGATACACATAAAATAGTATGACTAATTCCTAAAAGGTGCCATTCCTGACATAAGCTTATTCCTTCATATACTGATAGTGAGTAAATATATTTAAGACAGAAAAACTCAGCACAGAAATAGCATAATTGTCAAATCTTACATTAATACAAGGACTCAAGGAAAAAGTGGTTAATCAGGCCCTAATTCAGACAGAACATTCTACTTAAATAAGAATTTTAATTCAATCTTCAATTGGCAAAAATATACTATGGAATTCTCCATTTTATAATCTCAAAGAAAGAGAGGAAATACAGTACAGTGGTTATATTGGAGTTAGGCCTAGGCTGAAATCCAAGCTCCATGTTTTCCTAGTTGTGTGACTGTGAACACATATCTTCACCCGAGATCTAGTTCTTTAAAAGTTTACCTCACAGTAGTAAGACCAGGTATTCAGTAAACAGCAGGTTTTCATAATAATAATTATTGAACAGATATTTACTAATCATCCATTATATGCATAGCACATGGCAACTCAATTGGCAATAAAGCACAGTACACTGTACAGTACATAAACACCTCTCCTTTAGTCTTTATCTACTGTTCTTGGCAGTTTACTAACAGCAATGACCATTGAAAGCTTACTTACTGGGGAAGGTGTGGGAGGAACAGTACCACCTTGAATAACAGATGCAAATACTGAGAGGGGACAGAAGGCACACAAAAGGAGGCACGGAGACAGCATGAGACAGGGAGTAGAACGATCTGGCTAAATCAGAAGGGCTATCTGGCTATCCAGATTTTATGCTGGAAAGATGAGTTAGGCTGAGAGTAGAAGTCTTGAGCAGCAGGCTGAGTTTAAAATGGTTTTCAAGCAATGGTGGATTTTGTGAGCAAAAAAGAGCAATCAACTGAGAAATGGGAGGCCCGGGCCCTGTTCTCCATTCTGATACATACTAGCAGCATTAACAGTGGTTATGCCTAACTCATCTCCAAAGCTATTAAAGTGTTAATCTTCCTGATCTAGCCTGAATCTAAACTTCCATGATTCTAATAATTTTAAATTATTGTTATTAATAATTTAATATTTTAAATTATTACAGACATGTGGCTCACATGCCTATAATCCCAGCACTTTGGGAGGCCCAGGTGGGAGGATCACTTGAGGCCAGGAGTTCAAGACCAGCCTGGGCAACATACGGAGACCCTTGTCTCTACAAAATAAAAATAGTAATTAGCTGGGTGTGGTGGCTTATACCTATAGTCCCAGCAACTTGGGAGGCTGAGATCGGAGAGTTCCTTGAGCCCAGGAGGTCAAGACTGCAGTGAGCTGTGATCATGCCACTGCACTCCAAGCCTTGAAAACACTGTGAGACCCTGTCTCAAAAATTAAAAGAAAAAATTTTAATAGCAAATTACCTAGGACCTGGCAATGTCCGACAAACATCTGAAGGTTGATTTGTTGATTTATGGTAAGAAAATCAAAGTGAGAAAAATAAATGACTATCCAGCACTATCTGTTCTTAATGCTTCAAAGAAGGCTTTAGAAATGTACATACTTACTCTTAATCGAGGACACTTGGACTTGGCCAGTACTCCCATGAATATATCAGGAGCGTTAAATTCTTGGAGAAATAAAGCCACATCCTGAAAAGAAAAATGATTATTAACTTGGATGTTGAATATTCCTCCCTAAACCCCATAGCTTAGGCAACCATAAAATTCTATATTAAAATTAGAATTTTAGATGCAAGAAAAGCCAAACCACAGGGTTAGGAATTGTGTCAAGAGACAAAAGTGATGTTACAGTCTTTATGGTAACTGGTCCCAGACAATGGAACAATTCCATAAACAAATCTAAACTACCTACGATACTCCAGAGGATTATCCTACTCTTTTCTGCCCTGAATCTATTTACCTTAATAATTTTCCTACCCACTAGGAATTCTCATTAAACACATTCAAACACATTTGCTGATTACATATCAGCTATTATGCTAGAAGTGAGGGATAAAGAAAAGAGTAAAACTCCTGGGTGCAGTGGCTCACATCTGTAATACTAACACTCTGGGAGGCTGGTTGGGAGACTGGTTAGAAGGCCGAGGTGGGCGGATCACTTTAGTCCAGGAGTTTAGACCAGCTTGGGCAAACATGGTAAAACTCCATCTCCACAAAAATACAAAAATTAGCGGGTGTGGCGGCACATGCCTGCAGTCCCAGGTACTTGGGAGGCTGAGGTAGGAGGATCGCTTTGGGCCTGGGGAGGTCAAGGCTGCAGTGAGCCATGACCATGCCACTGTACTCCAGCTTGGGCGACACTGCGAGAAAAAAAGGAAGAGAAAAAAAAAAAAGAGTATAACTTGGCTGGGCGAGATGGCTCACAACTGTAATCCCAACACTTTGGGAGGCCAAGGCAGGTGGATCGCTTGAGCCCAGGAGTTTGAGACCAGCCTGGGAAAACATGGTGAAACACCATCTCTACAAAAAATACAAAAATTACCTGGGCATGGTGTTGTACGTCTACAGTCCCAGCTACTCAGAAGGCTGAGGCAGAAGGATTGCTTGAGCACGTGAGGCAGAGTTTGCAGTGAGCTGAGATCTCGCCACTGTACTCCAGCCTGGACAACAGAGTGAGATTTTGTCTCAAATAAAAACAAAATTCCTTCTTGTCCTCCAAGAGCTTAAAACACGGTAGGGGAAAGAAGCTAAGAACTGCTATTGGGTCCTGTCCAAAACCAACACTTGTGTTTTCAAAATTATCAATAGAATATAAATTCTGGTCACAATGTAACTGCAATAGCCTCATAACTTCTTCCTAGAGAGTCTGCCAGTGTCTAAAGGGGCAGAACATACACAGCCATAGAGAAGTACAACATTTGAGTGAACACGTGATTCCAAATGGGCCAAATCTCACCTAGAAATGTAAGACAAAAGGTAAATCAGTTTTCTTGGGGACTTGCACTGTAAAATATATAAATAAAATTAAGTTTCTGGTTATCCACTGCCTCAGATTTTCACTAAATTTGAGGTATATATTTGAGAAGCCTTAACTTAAAATATAAGCTGGATGGCTTATGTGAAAACTCACACAGAAGGACCCCAGAGCATCTCAAAGAGAGAGGCAATTATCCTCCACAGCAAATGTAACCAGTAACCTGCCAGACAACTGATTGGGAGGGACACACTCTACTTACTAAAAAACCATAGTCAGAGAAAATACTATTTTCAAGGATAACACACTAAACTGAAAGTCATTAACAGCAGATTTTCTTCACTGTAAGTGATCAAGCTGTCTGTCCTGTGAGCAATTCTGTCACATGCAGAAATGTTTAAATTTAATGATAATTCCTTAAGTAGCACAAGGATGGCCTAACAATATCAACACCAACAGTAATAACGGCAATTAACATTCATTGACAAGTATTAAATGCCAGGCACAGTGAAGTGGACTGCATGCTATCTCATTTAATTCTCAAAACAACTCTATCAACTAGTTATTATTAGCCCCATTACACTCATAAGCAAACTGAAGTTTTAAAAGGTTAAGCGAGATTATACAGTCTCAATAGAGCAAAGCTAGGATTTGAACCCACATGAGTCTGATTTGAGCCTATGGTCTCTTTTTTTTTTTTTTAAAGAAATGGGGGTCTTGTTATGCTGTCCAGACTGGAGCAGTGGCTATTCACAGATTCACAGGCATTATCATAGCTCACTGCAGCCTCCAACTACTGGGCTCAAGTGATCCTCCTGCCTCAGCCTCCCAAACAGCTGGGAATACAGGCAAGTACCCAGCAAGACTATGTTCTGAACCATCACAACATGCTACCTCTCAGATATTCATCTATTCATTCATTACTCACCAAATATTTTCTGAAAAACCTAATAGGCACTGTTTTAGGCTCTAGGGACACATCAGTGAACAAGCTAAATAAGGGATCAGTCCCATGGAATTTTCATTCTAGAGAAATGAACAAACAATAAATATATAAACAACTAAACTATACAATTTCTAAATGCTACAAAGAAAATAAGATGGTATGTGCTAGAAACCAAGATAAACGGGGCTACTTTAGACACGACATTAGAGAAGGTATTTCAGAAGAGGTGACATTATGCTTTGATGAGAAGGAATTTAAATCCATCAGAGGACACATGTAACTGAGTGAAGTGATTCTGTGGGAACACAAAATAAGAAAGGGTAATTCTGCCTGGAGTGTCTGGAGTGGCATCACAGAGGAGGTGACACTGAAGCCAGGCCATAAACAATGAGAAGGATTTTGCCAGCTGGAAGCCATTCCACACAAGTGGCATGAACAGCACTCATGGACACGTGAAAGTATAGTTAGTATCTGGCAGTCTCTAATCCTCACGCACTGAATTCACGGTTACAGAGCGATAGGAGACAAGGCTGAGATATAAACTCACTAGACTTTGTGCCAGGGACCTCAATGGTCAGTGGAGAGCTCAGTTCTGAGTGGTGCCTCAAGGGCACCTCTTATAAGGGAGCAGAAGAAGGCCAAAAAGAACATGACTTTGCCCTCCACCAACAATCTCCTTCAAACAGCAGCGCTGTTTTCTCAATTTTAAAACTGTGATTTTCATTCTAAGAGTTCATTTAAAACACAGGTTTTATTTATTTAAAAAAAAAATTTGTTTAACCATAATTTATCAATAATTGTAGAACAAATAGAAGGTAGATCTGAACAATACTCAACCAACCTGATCTAACTGACATTGATAATAAGATACTCCACCCAGCAACAACAGAACACACATGCTTTCTAAGTGAACATGAAACATTTACCAAGATAGACCATACTCTGGGCTATAAAACAAGTCTCAACACATTTAAAAGGATTCAGTGTTCAGTGACCACAGCAACAGAAAGATAACTGAAAAATTCCCAAATATTTGAAACTTAAATTATCTACGAACCAAAGAAAAAGTAAAGGATATTAGAAAGTATTCTGAACTTTCACGGACATGGTAGTTTACACCTGTAATCCCTGTACTTTGGGAGGCCAAGGAGGGTGGATCACTTGAGAGCTGGAGTTCAAGACCAGCCTGGCGAACACGGTGAAACCCCATCTCTACAAAAAATGCAGAGTGAGACTCTGTCTCAAAAAAAAAAAAAAAAAAAAAAGTAAACACAACATATCAGAATTTGTAGAATAATGGTAAAGCACAAATATTTAGGGAACATTTTTATAGTACTAGATGTCTATCTTTAAAAAGAATGATTTCAAAGTATAAAGTACGTGGACAACTGATTTTTGACAAAGACACAAAAGCAATTCGTGGAGAAAGGACAGTCTTTGCAACAAATGAGTTAGAACAATTAAATATCCACAGGCAAAAAAATAAAACTTCAATCCATCCTTGCACCATATACTATACAAAAATTAACTCAAAATGGATCACAGACTTACATGCAAAACCTAAAATTATAAAGCTTTTAGGAGAAAATATAAGAAAACAACACAGTTAAAAAGCAGGCAGATGATTCAAACAGGTACTTCACCAAAAAAGATTACACAGAGTAAAAATAAACACATGAAAAGATACTCATCATTAGGAATTCAGGAAGTCCAAATTATAATCACAATGAGATATCACTACATACTTATTAGAATGGCTAAAGTTAAGAAGACTGACCATACTAAGTGTTGGTGAGGATGAAGAGAAGTTCGACCTGGAACCGTATCTCATACACTGCTTGTGGTTATGTAAAATGGTAAAAACTGCCTAGGAAAACAATTTGAAAGTTTCTTAAAAAGGTAAACATACATCTACCATATGATCCAGCCATACCACTTAATATAGTTTGGCTCTGTGTCCCCACCCAAATCTCACCTTGAATTGCAATCCCCATAATCCACATGTATCAAGGGCAAGACCAGGTGGAGGTAAGTGAATCATGGGGCGGTTTCCCCCATGCTGTTCTCACGAAAATGGGTGAGTCTCATGAGATCTGATGGTTTTATAAGCATCTGGCACTTCCCCTGCTCACATTTGTCCTTCCTGCCACCGTGTCTGCCTGCCTCCTCTTTGCCTTCTGCTATAAGTTTCCTGAGGCCTCCCATCCATGCTGAAATGAGAGTCAATTAAACCTCTTTCCTTTGTAAATTACCCCATCTCAGGTATTTCCTTACAGCAGCATGAGAATGGACTAATACACCACTCTAGGTATTTGCCCCCAAAAAAAGTATATGTCCATACACACTTGTACACAAAAGTTCACAACAGCTTCATCTGTAATAAACCTTAAACAACTCCAGTATTCATCAACGGGTAAAAAGATAAACTGTGGTATATGCATATAATGGAATACCATTCAGCAATAAAAAAGAATAAACCATTGATATACACAACATGGATGAATCTCAAAATAATTATGCTGCATAAAAGAGCCAGACCAAAAAAAGAATATGAGCACATTTATACAAAACTCTAGAATACACACTCATCTGTAGTGACGGAAAGCAGTCCAGTGGTTGCCTGGAGAGGATGGAGGAAGGGAGGCAAAAGAGGAAGAGACTACCAAGGACCATAAGGAAACTTTTAGGGGTGATGGGTATGCTCTCAATTCTGATTACAGTGACAGTTTTATCTGCGTACACATCCGTCAAAATTTATTGGCCTGGCGTGGTGACTCCTGCTTATAATCCTAACACTTTGGGAGGCTGAGGCGGGTGGATACTTGAGGTCAGCAGTTCAAGACCAGCCTGGCCAACATGGTGAAACCCTGTCTCTAACAAAAATATAAAAATTCGCCGAGATTGGTGATGCACACCTGTACTCCCAGCTACTCCGGAGGCTAAGGCAGGAGAATCGCTTGAGCCCTGAAGGTGGAGGTTGCAGTGAGCCAAGGCTACACCATTGCACTCCAGCCTGGGCAAGAGGGACTCCACCTCAAAAAAAAAAAATTATCAACGGTATATTTTAAATATGTGAAGTTTTCTGAATGTCAATTATACTTCAAAATAATATGTACTTTTTTGTGTGTTAATTATACCTCAATAAAGTTGTTTTAAAAAAAAATGACTAAAACAATGAATAGCCATTGACAATTTTTAAGAAAATGAGTACAATTAAGTCTATATTTCTGGAAAAAAGATAACACGGGTGGCAATGTAGAGGATGGAAGGAAGGTGAAAGAGACTAAAACAAGGATTTTAATCAGGGAGCTATTCCAAAAGTCCAGGTAATAAAACAAGAGAGATTATATAGGTCATTTCATCTCTTTTGGCCTCTATTTTCTTAGCTGTAAAATAAGGATACTACTTATATCACAGGGTTATTGTGAAGATCAAATAGAATACTATACATGCAAATGCTTTTGAGCTATTGAATGAAATATGGATATTAAAATACAATTATTAATATTGCAATTATAGACATATAATTATTTATTGTCCCTTTCTTCTAATATCACAGTATATTAGCGGTCTTCTAACTCCTAACCTGCTCTCAAATATATGGCCAGAGTTCTCTTTAGGTAGATAAATATCAGAACTTTCCTGGCCTATATGTGTGTAGGAATATATTCATTAGAGCTATGTATTTAGTCCAAATCTAATGAGAGCTCAGATCCTCCAGCCTCAAAGACAGAAGTTTAGCAATGATAGCTCCTGGGACCTCATTCCCTATATCATATACAAGTGTGATTACAGACAGGCAATAAGGCTTTTCCCCAGAGACTGAAGGACTGAACCATTTTAAAACATCCACTCACCACCTCCTCACTCAACAGTCTTTTCAGAGTTTTGTTTCCAGCCTCATACCTCATCCATTGACATATCCCATACTCTGCAAATTTCATTCTCCATTTCTTCATCAAGCTCCATCTGCTGCTCCTCATCATCTGAGCTAGATTTGGTGTTTTCAGGGCTAACAATCTTCAGAAACACAAAGAAAGAAAGCATGAATAAAAGTTGTCTACAGTACTAACCAGGTACCCAAGTACAGCAGGTGATTGAATAACATTTCCTTATAATGTTGATGAGAAAAAAATTTGATTCCTGGCCAGGGCCACCGTCTGTGTGGAGTTTACATGTTCTCCCCATGTGTGCATGAGTCTGCTCCAGATACTTTAGTGTCCTCACACATCCCCAAAATTTGCACATTAGCATAACTGGTGTGTCTGAATGGTCCCAATCGGAGTGAGTGTGTGTGTGTGTGTATGAGTGTGCCGGTGAGGGGATGGCATCCTGTCCAGGGCTGGTTCCTGCCTTGCACCTTGAGCTGCTGGTACAGGCTCCAGCCACCCTCAACCCTGAACCACAGCAAGTGGGTTGGAAAATGGATGAATACAAATTATTATAAAACAAAAATCTGTAAAAAAGACAATAATCGTAGAGATGCAAGACAATAAATTATATGGTAGGAAAATGCTCAGTAAGCCTGCCTTATTTGTTATTGTTTTTGGACTGTGCAGTAGTAAGAGGTGGTCATTTTTGCTTTGCAAACATTTATTCCTTCATTTAACACACCATCATTACTACCACCATCACTCACTAATTCACCAAAACTGGGTAAATAATTATCTTGTTTTTATTAACCTTTCTTCAATGTATTCATAGTTCACATTTATCTCAATGTTTAATATTAGAAGTGTTTTGGGTCCTCATTTAGAAGTTTGGCGATGTTCTTGTGTCCAGAAATGTGCCACAGGAACTTAACTCATTTATATCAATTAGCCTATGATAAAATTGGTTTCATTATCAGTCATTCTGCTTAAAGTCACAATTTCCAAGAACTTACTAATGTTAAGTGAAAACTTACTTTAATATTAACCCATAATCATTTAGAAGTCACAAAGAGGCTATCAGCAAAGTATCTTGTCTTGCAAAAATCTTCTTTTAAAAACTTAGTGTCTTGGGTAGATCTATTCTTTCAACATTCACAAATACTGTTGCTAGGCACTGGGATGGATATATAAAGATGAGTAAGATATAATACCTTACTTTTAAGCTACTTTTTTTTTTTTTTTTTTTTTTTTTTTTTTAGGATTTAGTGGGGAAAGGCATGTAAAGGGATAGTCATATTAGAAAAGGCTAAGTGATTCAACTGAATTGTGGACAAAGAGTTGTGGTAGCAAAAATGATGGACCAATGACCTATTCCTGGGAGAAGATGTGAAACACTTCTCTTAGGAGGTGATACTTAAGATAAATCTTGGAGGAAGAATAGTAGTTTGTCTTGTGAAGGAGAGAAGTGAGTATTCAGAGGAAAATCCAAGTTGAGTTAAGAAAGGGCCTAGCATGTTTGGGGGAAGAACAGTTCAGTGTTGATGGAACAAAGTGTATCATGGAAAGATGAGGCCGGAAAATGTACAAGAGCCCTAAATACCAAGCTTCAAGAAATATGTATTTTTCTCCTAGGCAACAGGAACTAAGAGCAGTATCACGAATAGACCTGTCTTTAAAGATTATTCTGGCAGCTGTGTAGAAAATGAACTGGAGAGGCCAGAAATGGGAAGCAAAGAAACCAATTAGGGAAATATGGGGAGAAGAAAACGCATATTTACTGACAGCCTCCTGTAAGTCAAACACCATGTTAAGCACTCTATGGCCATTATAAGCTCACTTAACCTACACAATAACCCTATATATAATAATATAAATATTATAAGCCATTTTATAGAAATTAAGAGAGAAATAGAGGTTCTGAGCCATTAGGTAACCTGCAACTAGTAGGTAATTAAATTGTGTTTTTTGATTTTTTGGTGTGTTTTTTTGAGACAGGGTCTCACTCTGTCCCCCAGGCTGGAGTGCAGTAGCTGGATCATAGCTCACTGCAGCCTCCAACTCCAGGCTCAAGCGATCCTCCAGCCTCAGCCTCCTGAGTAGCTGGAACTACAGGCATGCACCATCATGACCGGCTATTTTTTTTTTTTTTTAAGTTTGCAGAAATCAGGTCTCTCTATGTTGCCCAGGCTGGTCTCCAACTCCTGGCTGAAGGGATCCTTCCGCCTCGGCCACCCAAAGTGTTGGGATTACAGGCGTGAGCCACCGCACCTGGCCAGAAGCCGCGTTTTTTATATAAAAGTTGTATAACCCTAAAGTCCCCATTTACTCTAATACAACGATAGTCCATGACATACATAAATTAAGGACTTGGGGTTCAGAAATGACAGTGGGGCTGGGGAGCAAAACCCGAGCAATGTAGTTACACGATCATGTATTTCTGGAGAACTTGCAAACGCAAAATATAACCCCAAGAATTCCAGCATCCCTGCCATTATACTTTCCTTTGTGTCGAGAGACCTGGAGACGCCCCAGATAGTTTTGGGGTCCGCAGCAGCGGGAGAAACGCAGGGAGCGAGGTCCCGCAGCGCGCGCCTGGGGAGGGGTCTTCGTGGGGATGGCGGCTCCCGGGGCAGTAGGAGCCGCCAGAGATGGAGCCCGGGTGCCTGAGGGATGTGAGGAGATCCCACGCGTGGCGCGAGTTTCCACACCTGGATGAGTCCGCTGAGGACGCCAAAGAGCCAGTGTTTGCTGTAGACCGTGCTCCCTATGCAGTCTCCCCCAGCGACCTCCTCCTCCTCCTTGTTGCGACCGGGCGGCGGCGGCGAAGGGTTGCGATCCATGACTTGGCCGCGTCCCGCGCAATAGGGCAGCGTCGGAAGCTGCAGAGGAGACGATAGGCGTCCTCGTGCCAGAGCGCCCGGTGCAGCCGGCGCGACTCCCCCTACAGCGCCGCCTGCTGTTGGGAGCCTGGCCAGCCTGAGAGCCAGCCAAGATAGCATTACTTCCCCCCACCCCATCCTATTCAGTTCCCAGGCAAGAACTTACTCATTATTTGCCACCTTCACTGAATCACGTATTCCATTTCTCCAGGAACCCTTAGCCTGATTGAAGAAGGAAGGGTAGGGGACAGGGAGGAAGCCTCAGGAACAGATGTGAATCTCAAAGCTAGCCGACCTATTCCATTCGCCTTCTGTTCCTAGAATCCTCTGATCTCTGGCCACTGTTGCCGTTCCTAAAATATCCGTGGGCGAAGCCGGATGACTTGTGAGGGATTTCAGGGATCCAAACTGATTCGAAAAGCTAAAGAGGCACCATTTGTTCCCATTGGAATGGCTGCTATTGCAGCCGTTTATACAAACTGAAGAGCAGGGGAAATACTAACAATATCCCATCAGCTGATCGCATGCATGTGGCAGTCCAGCTTTGTTATAGGAGCAATGACTGTTGGTATGGGCTATTCCATGTATCTGGATTTCTATGCAAAACCTAAACCTTAGAAGAAGAGATGTTGTTTTTGTCTTGTTGGAGTCACTTGCTTTAGTTATCCATCTCATTATTGAAGTTACATGTTTATATTGAAAATAAATTATTTGAGTAGGTTCAGATGATAACACGGTGTTCTGAATATTCGTTTCCTTTCGTGTAGGCTTCATTTGCCTGGTGACCAAATTATTAGTGACTAATTCACTAACTAGATCATTCAGGGGAGTCAAATTAACGCACAAGAAACACATCGCCTAAATGCACTTGATGGTGTTAAGATGTTCAACTTCTTAAACTATTAAGATGAAATTAATACTAAGGAAGGTAGCATGCCAGTCCTGAAGTACTCCCAGTTTGCTGCAGGATCTTGCATGCTTTGAATACTGAGTCCAATTTACCTCACTTAATTTAACCTTTTTCTGTCTGTCTTGTGGACTGGCTGGCTCTTTTAGAACTCTTTCAAAAAAGTACTTGAAATGTAACTTGTAAAGCCTCCCACAACTGACAGTATTGTGTGCATGTGTTTAAACCAAATCTAAAAAGCTTACTACAGAGCTGTATAGTATAAGCATTGATTAAAGAACCACAATTGTAAAAATGAGAAAACCTTAATTACGGATTTCAGTTTAGCACGTTCATAATTGCAGAATTATATTTTTGTTGCTGTTTTCTTAGAATAATTTTTCAGTGTCATCTTGAAATAGAAATATGTATTTTAGGCACCCACGCACAAGTAAATAAAAAACTCTTTAAATGAGTGCATTATTTTCTTTGCGAGAATCGTAAACATATTATGATGGAATTGATTTACAACACCCACTTTGATTTAATGAAATGAAATTTATAGATGATATAACCCACTTCCATATGAAATTTCAAAAATATCAATATAATGTCCAAACAGGAATGGAGACATGAAATTATTTAAAATAAAATAATGTGTATTTGAATATTTTAAACACTCAGTCACAACTATATTAGAAAACATAATGAAGTGTCCAATGTTTGCCTAGAATCACTGTGACACTTATGTCAAAGTCAAATAAAACATAGAGATTAATTTCTAAATTTAAAGCATTTTATTCAGTAAGTAAGAATTGCCATTCAGGGCATACACACAGATGAGACAGGCGGTCATCTTCTATATATCTGAGGAGCAAAGAAAAGATTGGGGTTTTACAAAAAAAGATAAATGTTACATGTTGTTTTGAAATAAATTTTATTGGTTTTAGTAAGTGTTGGAAATAGATGCTTGGTGCCACAAAGAAAAATTAGAACTGAGACAAGGGATTTTTCAGCAACACAATTTTTACTTCCTGGACTGCAGGAAGTGTACTCCTGTAGCCATCATGTCCCAAGAGTGTAATGAATAAAGGAACACACACAAATTTAGCCCTTAAGCATTTGGGGTCGTCCTTACCGCTGTGTCTGATCTCCATTGGCTGGAGCCAGACCTCACAACCTAAACTAAAACATGATTGGCTAACAACTTAAAACTTTTCTAAACAGGTGAAAGCAGTGGAGAGCTAGGACATGCCTGTGAGCACGTATAGCACAGATATCTTGGTTAAAGTACAAGGACATAGAGTGTACTACGTGCCTGTAAGCATGGCATATTTAACAGCTACATAGGATAGGGCTTAACAAAGTTATTAGCACACCTATTCTTTAACAAGAAGGGAAACTTTAAAAAGGATCTTTTCTACTTTCCACAGTAAGGTTTGGGTGAACTTGCAAGCTAGGATTCGTGAGAGCTGGCAGCAGGTAAAATTAGTCTGAGAGTCACAGCAGGTTGTTTCTGCAGCTGTTAGATAAAACTGGTCTCCATTTACAAGAGGCAGTTTCAGCAGCCAGGCTTGCAGAAAGTTACTTTTTTGGAGCAGTGCCATGTGCTCCAAGTGCTTTTTTCCCCCTGGCCTTTCGACCCTGTTTTAGTTGGGCATGACCAAAATGGCCCAAGTTGTATAATCAACTTTCGTACCTAGAATCACTGTAAACCCAACCATTATAAAGGCAAAATGATATAGGGTAGTACCATCACAGATGTGCCTTTTCAAAATCTTGAACATTTAATTATTAAATTTCTACCAAAACAAAGTTCCAACTGACTCAGTAATTGTATTTCTGGAAATTTAAAAGTCTATTAAAATTGGGCAAAAAATAATCTGTGTTAATATATAAAATGCAATTGACTCCTATGATCAGATAACTATAAACATGTTTTTCACCTTATATGCAGGGGTAGATCCAGGTTTTGTAGAGACTAAGTTATGACATTTGGGGAACCCTCTTTAAGGTAAAACAGAATAAGTTTATAAATATTACGTTAGTTAAAATAAAAATATTATTTGGAATGGGAAAAAAGAAATCACAACAAATTACCACTTTAAATAATTGACAAGTACCACAAACATCACAAAAGCCAGTACAATAATGAAATATGTTTACTAATAAACATCCTGACATACTTCTACAGTCCTTTTTCAACATATTTTTGCTGAATTTTCTTTTATCATCTCTCCATATGACAATGATAATAAGATAATTTCTATAGATAAAGAGATAGTTCTGGTCTTCCTATAAGCGAGAGCTTAAAGAAAAAAAATGAAAATAAAGAAAAAAGAAATAAAAATAGGTAGTTCTGTCTTTAGCATAATTGGGTTTCTTTATTATTATTGGTAATTTACAAAAGTTTTTTTCAGCTTCACAAAAGTTTGATAATATTGTAAATTTTTGACTGTTGTCAAATTTGGAAAACCTTCTTGTAGGGAGAACTCCATTTTGACTAGGATTCAATGACCATCAAATCTTCTGCTATGATTTTACAGTTCTCCATGGACTCATGTCTCTGTACATTTCAGATTTGTTTCTTCTCAGCTTCCCACATACTTCTGTGTTGGGGCCTATAGGACATGTTCATATTGCCGTATGACCTCTGCTCTTGCACCTGTGAGTCATCTCAGTAGGGAGTAGGAGCACAATTATGGGCCTTCCCTACTCCATGACAGCAAGCAATGACTTAATTATACTTCAAAGTGACTGCAAACCACAAAAATATATCCCCCTAAATGGAAGCCATCTGTATTCCTAACTCCACGTCTCCTCCTTCAGATCCAAAAAATGCCTGTAATCACCCCAGTGCCACTCAACACAAGAGGAAGTATGATGGTGGGGATGTTGGCATGCACAGAGTCCAAGGTATTAACTGCTTACAGTTAAAATATTTTACTTTGTTGGGAGGCTGAGGTGGGCAGATCACCTGAGGTCAGGAGTTCGAGACTAGCCTGACCAACATAGAGAAACCCCATCGCTACTAAAAGTACAACATTATCTGGGCATGGTGGTGCATGCCTGTAATCCCAGCTACTCAGGAGACTGAGGCAGGAAAATCTTTTGAACTTGGGAGGTGGAGTTTGCAGTGAGCTGAGATCATGCCATTGCACTCCAGCCTGGACAAGAGTGAAACTCCATCTAAAATTTTTTTTTATTACTTTGCAGATATTCAAACTATTTGGCCATATGAGCACTTTGCTAGGGCCTCTCCCAGAGGCCCTTCACTTGGCCAAATGATGAAGCTTAAGCTCCAGGGCCCCTCACTTACATGGAGCCATTCAAGGGCTCCATTCAAAGGCTCCATGTAAGTGAGGGACCCTGAAGTTTAAGCTTTATCAGTTTCACGGTAAATCTGCCTCTGCCTAGATGCACATCAGGCAGCACAGTTCAAAGGCAAGCAGGATGCAGGATGATTCTTAGTTTTCAGCACTTCCCATGCATTGTAAGATGCATGTATCTCTGACCCATCCACTAAACACCCACCAATTATTGTGCCAACCAAAAATATCCAAGAACTGGGATGGAGACGGGAGTGGGGGCAGTACTGTCCCTGTTGATCACTAAGTTCACTGATCTCTCTCTCTCCCCCAGGGAATGACAAGTCTTGAGAGGAATTATTATGCCATTCCCAAAGAAGTCGGCACGTTCAGCAGCATCCCCCAAACCCCAGTGCCTAACTCAGCCTTTTATACTACAAGAAGCAGCACATTGGGAAACAGGTTGAAAGATCTTCCTTGAGGTCTTTATTCTGTCTTTGAGGATGATTTAAAGGTTTTTCCCAGCAAGACAAAGATTGTCAGTCACACAGATCCTGTCCTGAGCAGCCCATGAGACAGTACTGGTCCCTGAAGCAGACAGAGATTCACTCCATGCAATTGTTCCTGTCTTGACTCTCGCTCTCCCTACTAGCTCCAGGAACCTGCATTACCTGTTTTTTAGCAGCCCGTGAACCCTCAAGCCCCTTGTGTGTGTGATATTTCCATGAGCATGGAAATATTTGTCCGAAATCCTGGATTGTCTTTATGCATGGCAGAGTAGACTTCCAAGTGTCTCTGCTCCCTGGAATGCCAAGAACACATGAAGTAAT